GCGGAGGGCGGGCGGCCGCTCAGGGGAAGGGTTCACCCACATGAGGGGTTCGCCCAATGGGATGATCAGCGCCGGCCCCAAGAACCGCAGCGCGCGCCGTCGCATCTGGCCGCCGGCCGCGGGCGTGTAAGTTGTGGTAGGCGAGGTCGCGGGTGAGTCGGGCAGGGTTGAATCGCCCGAATGGCCCGAATGGCCCGAATGGCACTGCAAAATCACATGTCTGAGCATGGGAGAAAGGCAAGCATCCCCTTCATAGCGTGTCCGCCCACGTACCTTCCGCCGCCACTCATTGCGCTCCTCCTCTTCCCCCTCTGTTATGGCGGCTCCGCGGAGCACCGCGTCTCCGTTGGCAGAAAGCGCAACTGCGGCATCCGTGCGGCGCCGATACACGCAATGGCGTGACCGCCCGCCGCTGCAGCACTGGCCCCAGCCCAATCCCAACGGACTCGCACAATCAATTACTGGCCGACTCGCTCTGAGGCGCCTCATTTGCGAGGCTGGGGACGCCCCAGCTGATTGGAGCTGGCCGGAATGCATTATCAGCGGTAACAGAGTTCTGGCGGGTTATGCAGTAATATTATACAGACTCCTTGCACTTCGATGAGGGAAAACGGAGCTGTGAGCTGCCTCAACGATCTGCACTCGATACACCACGCCCGAAATTGATATACTTGAAAATTCAGGGTTGTAGCAGAATTCTGCTTGAGTTGACAGCATGTGCCTTTGGCCTCGCTAGACCTGGTGGCACCAGGTGGGTGCGTGCACGAGTCAGAGTGCCGCCACATGCAAGATGATGTATATTACCTCCGCTATGATGTATTTGGCCAGGCGCGATCATTGGCTGCTATGTCAAGGAATGTGCTGGGTTTGGGTGTGCTGCGCCAGTGTCACGATCCCGTTTGACCTGGTCACACACTCGTTCATTGACTGGCAGCACTCACTACGACGCACTGCGTAGTCGTGGGTAAAAATGGAAGTATCAAATCATAATTTTATTGGACTTTCTCATGACGCTGCCCTTGTTTCTTCGTCGCGAGCTATCACCAGCGCTCCACAACCCCGCAAGCAACCGCTGCCACTCGCCACCAATTGAAACTTCTGTGCCCAAAAAAACTTGTAACAGGAACTTGCTTGCGCCAACGCACGATTTCAGCTGCAGATCACCCGAGCCTCGTCCCCGCTGCCTCGTTGCACGAAAACCCCGCTCGGCAGTGCCAAACGGGGGACAATGCACATCATTCCTCATATCGCATCCGCACATAGCATCGAAAGCCTCCCAGAAGGACCGTTGGCAGCAAAGAAGCAAGCCGGCGCTCCAGAGTGCAGCACCAACCACCGGTGCTACGACAGCCAGCATCGGCCGCCCGTGGGCAAGGCGCTCCCTTCAAGCATGGGTTCCACGATGGCAGATCTGATGGCGCGGCGGCAGCGGGAGAAGCAGGCCGCATACGACGCGCAATGGGACGGCGGCCGCGGCAGCCACCACCCAGATTTCGACCCAACTGCCTCTGGCGATGGCATAGTCAAGGCTTCCAGGTCGGCAGGTGGAGAGGGCAGCACTCGCGACATGCAGTAAAACGACCTGCAACCCCAAAGAGATCTAGGCTGGCAGCGCATGCGCACACGGGCATGGCACAACAGACAGGAGAACGAGGCTAGCAGCGCTCACGTGTGCGCGGGCACGGCATGCAGGATGGCCACTGGGGCCGTCTCGCACACTCTTGTCGGCGTCGGTGAAGGCGGCTGCGCGCGCCTAGTTTGCATAATGTCTGCCCTTTGCATCCACGCTTGCCGCAGCAGTGCGCTAAAAACTTGCCGTTGGGGCGCCAGTGCACATAATCAGCTCCATCCACACAACGTTTCTCGATGGCACGCCTGCACACACCTCCAAGGCCCCCCCCCCAAGGGCGTGTTCCCACTGTGGGAAGGTGACCTGACAAAAAAAACCGTGACGCTACGGTGTACAGTCGTTCACCTCCAAGTCTCAACCCCTCTGCTTTCCCAGGTCAACCGAAGAGCTCTACCTGTCCATAGTGGAGGATGACGTGGCGAGGGCCTACGAGAAGATCGATGAAGGTGGGCTGGCCGGGCGACAAAGCCGTGCGCCATCCACATCCCGCGCGCTTCGTGCCAACCTGACAAAGCTTGGCTTAACTGGGCCGCGGGCGCAGGTTTCTCGCGCCTGTGGGACCCGACAGGTCGGTGCCAGAACAGCTTTCGCTTCAAAATGCTGCGCTCCCTAGAAGCACGTACCTGCGGCGCTTTTTCAGGGCGTGGCCACCTCAGCCCCTCGCCTTTTGAGTCCCTCCACGGTCCCAGACGGTCTACCCATTGTTTTGCACGACATTGTCTAGTACAAAATCGTTCTTCGAACCACTCCCGTGCAGGTGCTGATGTCAACTTCGTCTTTGGCGCGGCCTACAAGTGCCCCGAGGGCTACACACCTCTCATGGTTGCGTGCCACAGGGGCAGGTGCGGCCCACGTCTCTAACATGCGACCCTTAAAGCTTTGAAAAACGTGACAGCCTGAGGCTGTCGGGCAACATCGCCCAGCCCACGCGCCAGGGGCGCCCGCCGCAGTCCCCCAGCCCGTGGCGGGCCTCCGC